GCCAGGGACTGGAACCTTTATGATTTATGGTTCTCAAAAATTCAAAATTTCAGTTTCGGTTCTGGTTTCGGTTTTCAAAATTATCAAATTTCGGTTTCGGTTAATACCGGTTTTAACCTTTATTATTTGAATTTTGCTTTTTATTTTATTTTTATCAATTTAGTACTGTATAAAAAAATGAATAATATATTAAGAACTTCTATTTAATGATAGGTACCTATTTGTAATTAAGTGTACCTATTTAAGAATATAGAGCGACATCACCCAATACTGGCGTGCGATTAGTGCAGTCAACACCCGTGGACCCGCGTGACCCGAGAGTAAATGTCATCGGTGGCACAGCAACATCGCATAATGCGACCGTTTTGCTAAGATAACCGGGTGTTTGCAGTCATAGTTTAACAAGGAGTGCCGTGGTTGGCCGCCTACGTGGACGACACCATCAGTATCAATAAAAGGAGCTAATCGCGCAAGTGGTTTCGTGGAAATGCGGGCCTCTGCGGCCAACTCCCGCAGCAGTGTAGCAAAGTGTGTACGCRTTGCGATTCCGCTGCCAACGCGCGCGCTGCGCTGTCCAACTAGGTTTTAAATAAGAAAGCGGGACCAGTCACATCCGAAATCGACGTTGTTAACAACCTTGTCCCCCCACTCCGCCGGAGCCGTACATGGCGGTGACAAGAATTTACAAAACGTCACATATAAGCAGTGTTAGGAACAGATAACAAAAAAATCATCTGGATAAAGATAAAGATAACAACACAAAATTTCATCTAAGATACAGATAAAAGATAAAAATATTTTATCTAGATAAATAACAGATAATTATAAAAACTAAAATTAAAACAACTAATTTTAAAAATAAATACATATATATTATATTTAATGTCGTTTAAGTACATGAATAGGTATATACAATTTTTACGTTTGACTTAATTTATTATATCATGTGTATCGCCAAACATGAACTTCAACACATATTACATAAAGAACCAATAAGACCCTGCATAGGCGCAAATAGGGGGGGCTTTAGGGGCTAAGCCCCCCCCAAACACTTTTTAAATTTTTTTTATGCTTTATCAGTATTATAATTATAGTTTATGATGTAAAATTCGTGTTCGTATTTTTTAGATTACGTAATTCGTAAATAAACAAATTTTATTTTTCCTGGTATAATTTTTATTATTATTGTACATTGTAGACTTGTAACCATAAACCATAATATCCATGATATAATAAACTAATTGGTAATTGGTTATCAGTCATCGCTAATAGATATTAGATAGTATCACCACAGAACGTATCACTGAGTGGTGAGCGGGCCGCGTGGACGTGCATTTATACAATTATACGTTAAACGCACCTTCGTTAAAAATAGAATATCCGGGGAGTCCAAATAAACCGTAGGATGATATATCACGTATTTTCATTAATTCGTTATCAACAGTTATATTTTAACCTATAATAAATTTACTATAGAGTTTTATAATTTGTTTTGTTGGTTGGTCATTTTACATTTTAGACTTTAGTATTTACACGTTTCGTGTTGCGTTTCATGTGAAAATCGAGTAAATTATAAACATACGTCGTACCAGAAAAAATGTTCAGTATATTTAATTTAAAAAAAAAAACTATTTTCTTTTTATTTAAAAATTAAATTATTTTATTTTATTTTCTATAGGATGCAAGGAACTTGTTTAATGGATTAGAAGCTCTTTAAGTATACTTTTCACGACCCTCTACAAATTTTAAACTTTGTGAAATGCAAAAAGAGCTTGGTTTAACTAAGATTACTCTTTCCCAATTAAGTGACACTCGGTGGGTCTGTAGATTTAAGAGTTGTGATGCTCTTATTAACAATTATGATGCTATTGTCAATGTTTTAACTAATGAAATTGATGAACAGGAGAGTAAAGATGTCGCTCAAGCAATTAGTATGTTTAATTTTTATGTACTTAATAGTTAATAATAGTTTAGACCATTTAAGTGCACATATTGTAAAAATTATACTTAAATTATAAATAAATAAATAATATTTCAGGTGTTTTGGCAACTATAAAATTTTTTAAATTTATTATATATTTGTTTATACTCCATGATGTTCTGAAAATAATAAATATATTGAGTGTACAATTACAATCAAAACTAGCAACATTAGGAAGTTCGGCATACTTAATAAATGGAGTTCAAGAAACTCTGAAAAAAAATCGTTCTCCCGAATACTTTGCAGAATTATGGGAAAAATTCATTAATTTTGCAGAGAATAATGATATTTCTATCAATATTCCCATAGGTAAGTGGCTTTAAAATTAACTCATTTTTCACAGAAATTACATGTACAAATTTTCTTTTTCAACAGGTTCTAAAAGACGTAGAACAGAAACAAAAACCTTCAAGGACTACCATGTTACTGTCACAACTGCGGCTGAGAACTCGTTTTACGAAGACGATTCGTCAAAGAAAAAATATTGGGAAGAGCATGCTAACTATCCAATATTAGATACAATAATAGRTAGTTTGAGTAATAGATTTTCAGAGGAGAGTTTAAAAATTGCGACAGCGGTTGATGAATTATTTAAATTAAATTTTCAAAAATCGTCTTTTCTTATTGATTATTACAAAGTATGTTGTAACTTGTATTTGAGCAATATTTATAAATTATGAATTCTGTTTGACAAATACTTTTTTTTAAACTGTTTTGTTTTTGATTGCATATTTATTATTTGTGCACAGGATACTTTTGATATCAATTCTTCAAACTTAAAATGTGAAATGAATGTAATGAAAAACATGATGAAAGAAGTTAATTTTGAAAATATCAAAAAACATTTAAATGAAGAAGTATTTCCTAATTTATTTAAAATTATGCAAGTGGCAATAACATTACCAGTGAGCTCGGCCACTTGTGAAAGGTCCTTTTCAACTATGAGAAGGATCAACACATATGTCCGAGCTAACATGACTCAGGGCCGATTTACCAATTTGGCAATATTGAACATCGAAAAAGATATTATAGTAGATAATGAAATAGTATTAAACACATTTGCTAAATCCAACCGAAGAATTCAACTTTAAAAATATATTGGGTACATTTTTTTAAATAAAAATATTGTTCTATAATTATATTATTTTGTTGTACTTGTTGCTCTAAAGYCATACATACTTACAGTATTAATAATTCCTATTGTTTTCCTAAAAATAATGTGGTGTATGGTGTATAATGTATATTAGGTATATATTATAAGTATAATTTTGAGAACTATTACAAGTAGGTAGATGAAATAGGATAGCACATTTGAAAACGATATTTAATAAGTTTTATTTTCTGTGAATATTGTAATAATTAAGTACACAGTATACGATATACCTATATGTTGTACTAAAAAAATATTTAGGTATTAATTACTTGTATAAATGCTTCATTTAGTAGCTAGGGCTTCAGCCCCCCCAAATCTCAAACGCTATTTGCGCCTATGTCCAAGGGACTAAGGGAGTAACAAAGGTATAAATACAAATTGATTAAGTCATCCTGCTGTAAAGTAGATGTCGAGTGGACCAAAAACAAAATACACCTAGTTAATAATATTTTTAGAAATAATATTTATTTTAAAATTAAATATAAAAGAAACAAAAAAATTTACTTAAAATGAAATAATATATTTTTTTATTAAATGTAAATAAATTAGGTAGATTATATAAAAAAAATTAAGAAATTACTATGCAAAACATAATAAGTAAATAGGTACCTAGTTAATTATATTTATTAAAGGTACAATATAAAATTTGTTAAATATATCAGGCGATCAGGCAAACTGAAGTTAGTATAATCAGAACTATTTGATTCATAAAGCAACTGACTAACATCAACATATTCAATATCAATAGGACTGGACAGATTATCTTCATTATCACTATCAATTTGTGTGTCTTCATCATGTGTATAACTTCCCATCTGTTCTATTATATATTGTATTTTAATTATAATTTAAAAATATTTATAAAATTCTGGGAAATTATACTGGTCGTGATAGTAATATACTAATAATACAGTAAATAGTAATATAGGCTACTTATATAAATTAATTAGTATTAAGTATATTATATTATATATTATATATTATAAACTGAGTATAGAATATTMATTACTAATAAGTACTAAATAGGAATAACTTTTATTCTTTTCAGAATAACGTCTTATATTTTTAAACCTGGATGTTATTTTACGTACAAGTTGTGCCTGAGATAATGAGAATAAAAATTTAACATTTTGGAACAGATCTAGCTAATTTTWACCAAAAAATTTATCTTGTAAATTTATCTAGATAAATTAAATACTTAGATAACTTATACTTAAAGGCCGAGCGTAACAGCTAGTTGCACAACGAAAAGGCTGCTGATCACAGCAAAACAAARTATCAACTCGTGCTCACACGAGGTCTTGTGGTATGCGCACGACGACGGCAAAGAGCGGGCGCGACGTTGTGTCAGGCTCAACCGCTGGAAAAATACAAGACAAAAACGGTGGGCACGGCGGCAGATGGCTAAGTTCGCCGGCTAGCGCTTCAGTAGCGGGGACCGCGGAGGGGGATGGCGTCGCTCGGAGTTTTGACATCCGAACGCGACTATTGGAACGTCTGTCACTTTGGCGGCAACCTGTTCCGCGTTTGAACTACGAACACTATCTGTAGTAGTAACTATTACTACAGACAGTGCTCAGTCTGTATAAAAATGGGAAGGGAAATATTGTTGAGTTTTTATAATATATGAGACTCAACTGGTACCTATAAAATTCAAAAAAAATTCGGGACGCAATTCGGAAAGAATTTTTACCGAGGGACACAATTCGTATGCAGCCTTATTACCGGCCTAATTATGTTTACCTTTTTTCCCTGTGTATTATTATTGTTATTATTGTTTTTCCATATTTATTATTGTCTTTATTTTTGTGTCAACTATCTTTGTATTTTACTCTGTGTATTTTTTTTCTCATAATCATTATTCTATATTTCTGTAATCACCAATTTTTTTCGTGGCCAACGCCCTTATTATTATTATTGGTCTTGTTGTTTTCGTTGGAGTACCCAAACTAATTTTTCAGAAATGTTAGCGTACTTCTATTTTTATATTTAAGGGGCCGCATGAGACGCTGAATCATATTATTAAGAAAGTCTCCTGAYCAAAGTTACTAGATATATGGAAAATCTGTTCTATAGCACCTATTTTAAACTCTAGGGATGCTTCTGATGTCACTTATTATAGACCAATATCTATTATCTCACATAGTACCAAGATATTTGAATCTATTGTTTATTAAAATATTAGATGAAGCTTTAATCATCCATTGATTGATGARTGGCATGGATTCTAGCCAGGTAAATCTGCTTTCATAAATTATGTTTAATTTCTATCGTATATTATTGAAAATAGACGTCATCATCATTAACTTCAAAAAATCATTTGATACAGCCAACCGCGAGCTACTTATTTATGAATGTCTAGGCCTTGGTCACCCATTGCTTAGATAATTAAAATCTTACATTAAAGGGAGAAAAAAATTTCTAAGAGTGCTTGGGGTATCATCCTACGTAATTGATAATTCTTCAGGCGTCTCTYAAGTGGGGCAACTAAGTATTTTACTGTTCTTTGCTTTTATAAACACTGTCTCAAATATTTACAGGGTCAAAGTTTCTTCTCTTTGCGGATGACATCAAGCTATTTTTTAAAGTTGACTACGGGTGACTAGGCTATAGGCTATTTTACAGGGTGAGCTTAATCTTTTTTTTAACTGGGTAGATCATTTTGGACTCGTAATTAATCTTGATAAATGTCACTCTATTATCTTCACCAACAGTTCTTAGTCCATCAATGGCTTACCACTTAAATGAGTATCTGAAATTAAAGACCTCGATATTCGTTATACGTCTTCTTTTTCATTTAATAAACATATTGACATCAAAATAACACGAGCTCTTAAAGTTATTGGAATTATCAAGCGCAGCACTAAACCTTTTACATCAGTAAATTGTCTTCGTTCTCTCTACTTTGACTAGTACAATCAAATCCTGAGTAAAGTGTCATCGTGTGGCACACATACCTCAGTATAAGCTACAAAATCACTTCCTAACTTTTTTGGCTTTTTTAAATCAAACTGACGTGTCTTCTCACAACTATGTCAGACTACATAATAATGTTTTCCTAAAACCTTATTACTGCCTTTTGTTATTAAATTGTTATTATCTGCATAAACGTATAACTGTTTACAGCTGATCAGCGAAAAAGATGTATACAATATGGGCWCTGGTTAATATGGGCAACCGTTTATTGTGAGCAAACATGTTTGGTCCCAATACATATGTATATTAACAATGTTAAATAAAACCACGTAATATTGGCACTCGATTCGGTTTATGTGGGCCATTTTATTTTATAATTCCGTTAGAATACATATATATGTATTTAAAAACGACTAACTTAATCGGGTTTCGTTGTATCTATGAGATTGTATTAATCAAAATTAAAAATCATTACAATTCAAACCTGTAATAGGATTTCGATGTGTGTAAATGTTGTTAGATGTGATAAAAATAAAGCAATAGAGAGCACGCGTTCTGTAACGAGTCAATATCKGCATTTTAGTTTTGACGTGATACTGTGTCTCGAAAAGATCTCTCCCTCAAGGAAAAAATCACTATTTTGATCAAAGTGAAATCGCTATCTCCAGGCACTTCACAATGTAAAATCACTGAAAAATTATGAGTTCCAAAATCAACGGTGGTGAAACTACCAAATAAGAAGTCATTTTACCCGAAAATTTCAATTCAACTGATACTGGTAATCAAAAACGTAAACGGGAAGAAAAAGATCCCCAAGTTGACGAGGCCTTAAGTGAGTGGTTTTTATTGATAACAAGTCGCATTGTTCCGTGTGTCTGCGCTTATGTTGAAATGTAAAGCCGAATGATTATCCCAGAAAATTGGTAACAATCAGTTTATTGCTACTGATATTTGGTTAATCAGGTGGAAGAATAGACACGAGATAAAATTCAAACGTGTGCATGGTGAAAAAGTAAGTGCTAACGAAACCGCCTCTGATGATTAGAAATTTGACAGGCTAAAAATAATTTTGAACGACTTTTCCTCAGATAACATATTTAATGCAGATGAAACTGGACTGTATTATCGAGCGACACCTGACGGTTCTTTATGTTTCAAAAGGGAAGTTCTATCTGGTTCAAAAAGGCAATGGAGAAGATTACGGTTTTATTATGTGTCAATATGACCGAGAGTGATAAAAGAAAGCTGCTAGTAGTGGGGAAAAGCTTAAGATCTCGATGCTTTAAAAATCTTTCTATAAATAAAATGCCAGTGCATTACCACGCGAATAAAAATGCATGGATGACTTCAACCATATTCTTAAACTGGCTGTATAAGTGTGATAAGTAATTGCAAGCAAAATCTAAGTCCATACTTCTTTTTATTGATAACTGTGCTGCACATCCAAAAAACGTTCAATTCAAAAACGTCACTTTAGAATATTTTCCTCCAAATACGACATAATCCTTAATCCAACCCTTAGATATGGATATTATCAAAAACCTCAAGGTGAGATATAGAATGAAACTATAGTTAATTTTATTCTAGAAATGATTGAGGAAAACCTGTTTGATCATGTGCAAAATAAACATATGGCAAGCAATACAATTTGTATCCGAGAGTTGACGAGAAGTTAGCCGCACAACTGTTATACATTTTATCACTCATTGGGGATTTTTTAATTTTATTAGTCTACAACCTGAGTTGACTAAGTTGAATGAATAATTTTTTCTTATTCAAATTAATAAAAAGTTTGAAAATACTTCTTGTTTGGATAATAATGAAGACATTTTTGATATTGTAGTACAAAATGTACTTAAAAAAAAGAAATTGGAAGATGATGAAGAAGAAGAAGATACCGAACCACCAGTTACAGATAGAGAGGCTAGAAAGTGTATTGMTTTGATGCAGAAGTTCTTCATATAAGAGGGTAACAAAAATAGTTCGACTGATAAGCTTGAAGCGTGTGCTCATTTTGTCCAC